TACAATAGAGTTAGAAAAGAACTTGGCAACAAAACTAATCAAGAATGAAGCTAACCCCCATGCATAGCCGTGAAACTTTGAGAACTTCCCTGATCTAAACATGCTTTTTATCAGCATGGAGCTGATCGAAGGGGACCCTGATTGAGGCAAAAAAAGCGTCGACTTCAGGTCCTTCAGTGTCGGACGGCGGCAGTGGGGTCGGACAGGTACCACTTTCCCTGGCCTGATTGGGAAAACAGTTGTGGAACCAAACGTCTGCAGGAAACTCTGCCCCAGAAGTGGCAACATCATCCTCTTCAATGAAAATGTGCTTGTTCTTGGGAGACCTCTCCTTCTTCCTTGCCAAGGGAACCTTGTATAGAATGTGTTCTTCCATGGTCGGCTCCAAATATTCTTTGACTAACGGACGAGGCTAAGATAAAGATTGATGGTATGCAACTGTTGCACAAACTCGCTTTGTAGAGAAATAGCCCCAAAAGAACGGACTGCCATGAAGAATATCAGTAACGATGGGCAAGTCCATGAGATATGGAGTGATATGATCGAAACTACAAAAAAAAGGAAACAAATACAATTTTAGATATCATCAAAAGGAAAATCTATCAGAGTATCTGACCCTTTTGATTCCATTTGCACCTAAAAAAAGGATACACTCTTCCGCAACAGAGGCGCTGACTAAACTGACAAAAACGTATACGTAGTAATCCTACCACTTGTGTACGTGAGAGGCAAACCCCTTGATTATCGCCATATTGTTCCTTGGCTTGAAACAATACTGGAGTGGTACTGCTGTATTGCTCAAAAACAAAAGAGCTTCAAGATAACTGGCACTAAGAGCCATCATTCGATCGAAGCTGAAGACCAATATCCCTACGAGATCCTGCAGGCCGCAAGGAGAGATCTGGCTTATAACCAGACGGAAATGATTAATGGTCAGAACCATGATTCCCGGGATAGAAACCACAAAAAAAACAACGCAAAAGATGCGCCTCGTAACACGTAATGTAACCAAAAGGAGGAGTATCATCACTCTCCCCATTCTTTTGTTTGCAAAACTTCACCTTCTTCAGAACTCGGCAGTAACTGCAGATGGTGTCGAGGAAAGGATAAGTGCTTTTAATTGGCTCATAAATGACTACTCTAGCGTGAGGCCTCACTGGGCACCACAGTTCAGGTGGAGGATGTTCCAAGACGCGTGTGGTAAACCAAAATTACGCGGCTTCCTTAGCGTCAACGGAATACGGTACAAACTTAACCTTCAGAACAACTTTTCAATCTCCTTCAAGTAAACTCTTGGGATCGAAAGAAGAGGGAAAGACACTCTCAGCCATTCATTTGCTTGGAGAAATAATGGAAATAACAAAGGAAGAAAAAGATAGAAATATTTTTACCGTAAGGAAAGTTCCCTGGAGAAATTAGTATGAGCAAGTAAGAATAAAAAACTTTTTCCATACTTATAGATGAGGAAAAAGAAGGGAAATTTACCATATAGCTTTCGGAGAATATCCTTTTACCTCAGACTTTCAACCATAATTCCTCCTAACATGCATAATATACCTAACACCTCGCAAGAACTTCATGAAAAGTCTAGAGAGCTGGAGGGCTAACTGTTCGATCACGATGGAATCTATGTCTAGAAAATCTTGAGGAATTTTTCTCTTTCAATAGACAATTAAAAACGATCAATAAACAATTTATCACGAATGATTCTTGCGATATTTTAACATACGGCTTTTGAAAGTACGACAAAATGAAAAACAATTACGTTCCAACTTGTCACCATCTCCTCGTCTCCAGTCCATGTCGACATCAAAGCAAAATGACCTCGAAATTCAAGTAGTTTATACATGGTTGGTACGTAGATATGATGAAGATGTAAGAAGCCATGCATGAGATGACAAAACAATAATCGTCGCCTTGCGTGCATGGGTAAGCTTCCTTTAGTCCAACCGGGTATTCTTTACTTTAATTTGGCTTTCACATCTTTGTTGACCAAACCTACTATTATAACTGGACTGTTTTGTTGAAGATAATTATTACTAAACTTCTTAATAAATTCAACTAATTTTACCTTTACCAGCTCGATTTAATAGTTCTCTTTTTCTTAATATCATAAGTTTCGAGATCCAAGACCGTAATCACCCCCAGATGCCAAATCACAACACGTAATATAGTTTCATCCCAACCCGATTTAATTGTCCCTAAATACATAATCTGTTTGTTAAATTTGGGGATATTTAGTTTTGTCAGATTAGTAAACTTCAGTTCTTAGTTCGTCCATATAAACTCAATTACGCATTTTCATGAACATGATGTACCGCCAATCCCGAAATAATGGCTCATACCCAAAAACAAGTAGTTTGAACGTAATTTTAGAAGTCCCATGAATCTCGTGTTTATGTCTTCGTGGCTTTATGCTAAATTACTTTAGTAACAAGTTTATTACTTTTCCTAATCCTCTCAAAATGAGTATATTCAGGAAGCAAAGAGTATAATGGACCTTCTTCGCATCTACATTGTTCTTTCCACGCCATCCTTGTCTTTTTATCAATCCTTTGGATTGCCTAAGCAAATGAATGTAACTATTTGCACAGTATTATTCAAAAACAGGAACAGATCTTAGTCTAGATGTGCACACACAAAAAAACAAAAACTAGTCTAGATTGCATAAAAGAAATCCGAGCATTATAACAATTTGAATCGTCTACAATAGAAAAAAAATAATATCGACAGTAGTTTTCGTAAAAGGCAATTCTTTCAAATAGTTTTTTTATAAGATTTTGACACAAAAATAACTCTTAAAAATTAAAATGACCAAAATAGTTTTTTATTTATTTTGAAATTGGTAATATTTATCTTTTATTTTTAAAAATTTGAAATCATAAACCTAAAACTATGTCCTTTAACTCTGAATCCTATGTTTAGATTAGTTAACCCAATAGTATAAATGCATATTTATCCTTTAATAAAAATTTATTTTAGTCATTTTTTTAAAAAAAACAATTTTTGTGAAAATAAACTAATAAGGGGTATTCAAAGGAAATTTCTTTTTGGTAAATGGTGAAACTTGATCTCTAATATTTTTAATAAATAGGATGACTTATTTACACACTAGAAGTTCTAGTCTGAAGACACCAATATACCGTACGTCATGTGTTGTTATGCGAACGATATATAAGATAGTGCAGAGAGCACCTAAAAATTCTTCCGCAACATGCATCTTCTTTAGTACGTATCCTACACTGTACATACATCTATATTTTTTTTATAATGAACGTCTATTTTACTACTCAAATTTGAGGTGATGCCCAGACCAAAATAGAAATATATATTAGTTAAATCATATTTGTACAAGATAAATTGAAATTAATTTACATATGAGAGCTGACTAGATATGTATTTGATTGCCCTCCCTGCACGAAATAAATATAGCTTATCTAATCCATCTACGAAGAAGATTATTTTATGTAGAAATGATTTACCAAACACCCAGAGACAATGCATTACCACAAGGGAGACACTTCACGGATATTCTGCCCCACATGACCACATATAAATCTCAGTAAGATTTTGGCATGTCTAATTTGGAATGAATGATTTGGAATGTTTATACAGTACACTGAAAAACTAGCGGAGCTATTTCATTCTTCTACTATTTTGATTAGTAATGATATGATTATATGCTAGTTATCAACCAATTTGCTATATATATAATTCATAACATTGCAGGCAGCATTACATACTCTAGAGTAAAATGAAAGAAGGCATGGTGCAATCGCAAAGATCAGCATAAGACATCTGTATACAGATGTTGGGTTTGTGAGAACCTATGTCCAGCTCTTTTTTGTCTCATTAGTACGATATTGTCCATTTTGAACCTAATAAAAAAAAATATGCATGGATTTATTTTTGGTTTCCTTTTCAAAAGGTCTCGTACTAATTAGAGTTGGACATCTTTTTATATATTAGTTTTTTCATGTCTAATTCTCCAATGTGAGATTTAGTTTGTTATCGCACATTCCCCCGCCTCAAACTAAGGATTACATTCATCTTGTGTCTCACAACTTACTTTCATGATCTTTTGACTTGATCTCTACAGCACATACCTCTCATTCATAATTCGAAGGATCCCATTCATATATCGAAAGGTATTTTTGTTCTTCTTGTAGATTTTCTCGTCAAACTACTCTGATACCAATTGTTGGTTTTCTGAGAATTTATGTCCAACTTTTTATTATCTAATTAATACAATATTGTCATTTTAAACCTGATAGACAATTTTGCATGAATTTATTTTTGGTTTTATTTCCAAAAAATTTCGTACTAATTAGAGTTGGATATATCTTTATGTGTTAGATTTTTTTTTGTCAATTCACCAATGTGGGATTTAGATTTAGTTTGTTATAGCACACAAGATACTGGATCGTCAGGTCAAAAATCAAAAATCGTTGCCTCTCATTGCGCCAGTTGGGTGGTCAATAATATGCAGGAGGACTATCTATGTGGCTAACCACACGATAATTTAGAAGTTTCACTCATGTAGTATTTGATGCAGTCAAACGTGACAGACTTGTTGTAAAAAAGTTATTTTATTTTGAATATATTTATCATATATTAAAAATATATAATTAATAACCTTTATATGTTCTTCAGAAATGCATTAAAAATACATCAGTTCACAGTATGTATCAACTTTGTCTCTAGCTAGGAGTATAATTTTTCCGTATTAAAAGAAACGGCGACAGAGATTTTGTTACAAAATTACCAAGAACAAAAAACATTTGTCAAACAAATTACAATAAAGACAGCTGTTATGGCCGAAGAATTATCAAATAATGTATTAAAACTTATCATCAATCTTCCACGAAATTATATATATAAAAATATATATATATATATATATATATATATATATATATATATATATATATACACCAAGTCCTAACCTCAAGCTTGATAGTCTTGGAAGAGAGATAAGACAACATAATCAGAGAAAGTAGATGGGAAGGTCGCCTTGTTGCGATGAGAATGGTCTAAAGAAAGGGCCGTGGACTTCTGAAGAAGATCAAAAGCTTATTGATTACATTCATAAACATGGCCATGGAAGCTGGAGATCCCTTCCAAAGCTCGCAGGTTTCTTCCTTTTCCTATGCTCTTAACTCAACTCAACGATTTAAAAGCTCGTTTATTTAGTTTAGTGAATATATATATTTATATATATTTTGATGATTTTGGAAACCCTTATCTTTTTCATATTCAGATTTGAACCGATGTGGAAAGAGTTGTAGACTACGATGGACGAATTATCTGAGACCTGATATCAAAAGAGGAAAGTTTTCCGCGGAAGAAGAGCAAACAATCCTCCATCTCCATTCTATTCTAGGGAATAGGTAAGAAGTATTTTCATTATATTTAGTCGTTTCTCGTTATAAAACATGGAATGAATATGTATACGAAATCCATTGCAACATAACTGTAGCAGTAACATAAAATATTAGACTACATGTTTAAAAATTCAAATACTTAATTGTTTTTTCATGTATATAGATGGTCAGCTATTGCGACACATTTGCATGGACGTACAGATAATGAGATCAAGAACTTTTGGAACACACATCTAAAGAAGAAACTGATCCAAATGGGCATTGATCCTGTGACTCATCAGCCAAGAACCGACTTATTCGCAAGTTTACCTCAGCTCATAGCGTTAGCAAACCTAAAAGACCTCATTGAACAAACGTCACAATTCTCATCCATTCAAGCTGAGGCAACTCAACTAGCCAAGCTACAATATCTCAATTGTATGCTTAACTCTTCAGCTTCATTATCCAACAACAACAACAATAGTCCCAGTAGTATCCTTATTATCGATCAAAACCACGCAATGAATCTCTTAAACTCCATGGTCTCATGGAATAAAAACCACAACCCAAATTTCAATGTCGCTCTTGAATTTGAGGCTAACGGTCAAAATAAAGATTTATTTCCACTGGGGTCTATAATTGATTCAACCACCCAACAATTCCAACAACAACAGTATCACTTAAACAATATTACTAGTGAGCAACCATCCCAAGGTGACCCACTTCTTCTTGATCATGTCCCTTTCAATCTAACTACACCTTTCCATACTGAAGAACACTTTATAGACAATTTAGCCACACATCAAGATCAAGATAATGATGATCCATCTTCGTGGGTTCTGCCTTCTCTTATAGACTACAGCCCTAAAACTGTCATGTCTTCTCTTCGTTACATCAATCCTGCGGATGCGAGCAGCAGCTCGAGCTATGGCGGTGGGGACGCTGCGTTACTCTATTGGCCTGAATTTTGCTTCGACGAAAGCCTTATCAAAGATATTTGATAATTAGTTTTGGCATAAGGTTCTTATAAATTATTGTATTGTACGCGCACGACTAGTCGAATTACGTTTATTCAAGCTGAGTTTTTTTTTTTTTTTGATCAAGCTGAGTTTATTCTTAAAAAAATGATATTTCATTTGTTGTGTTCATCGTTTAGTCTTGCTGTCGTCCATTTATACGTTCATTTCTGTTCTATTTTTATGTAATTAGACATGACATATGTGGGTTTTTGTGTGTTTATAAACGACATGAATTTTTTGTTTTTTTTGACATAAATAACTATTCTATTACTCAAACTTGAGATGGTCTGAGAATTTAGACAGTAATAAAACAATCAACAAAAACTAAATCTTTATAAAAAGCTCGAGTTGTCTTGGCCAATTCTTCTGATTTTTGGTTCTGGGTCCTTGGAATGCGTGTGATCTTGAAACCTTTCTTGAAGTTCTGCTATCCCAACTAATTTCGTTGAAAATTTTGACCATGCACCTTGGTTCTGAATCATCGAGCTAACATCCTTGCAATCTGTTCAAAAATGTTGACATATCGAGTATCGTAGCATTTCTCCTTGACCAAGTTAGAGCGTTGAAATCTGAATGAATTTGTGTTAGTCTTCGTTTCTAAACCCTAGGAACAGTTCATTTCCTCGATCATCTAGCCAAATCCACCCGTATCCACTTAACCTGGCATCATGACTATCTGATCTATTTACCAATTATATATTCTGCAAGCGTAAGACTTGTATATTTTGTGTATTGTTTTGCAGTTGGTGGTTATCTTGGCTATTTGAATTGGCATCATACCATGCATGGCGCTCACTATGAGCATGTCGAATCACTTCTTTCGGGTTTCTTTTGATTCTCCTGAAAAATTTATCATTCCTAGCTTTCTAGAGATACCATATTATCTATTGATATGGGTCTCTACATAGTACATGGTCTTCTAGGTCAGTCTTTCTCTAGAACAAATAATCCAAGCTTGAATACACACTTAATATTGGAAATATGCCTAGACACGATGGTGTCGAAACGGTTGCCAAGTCTGTAATGACGGTGGACATTAAAAATTGGCATGTTTTTGGATTCATCAGGTTCGTCGCAACTAGGACAATGGTTATCACATTTCATATGACAACATGTTATCTTCCTTGTACAGCTAAAAAATCCAGATACCATTTGCCAAATTAGATGTCGCATCTTCAGTGGAGCGTTTATTTTCCAAGCAAGAGTTTGTAGATTCGTGATGCTGGCCTCCTATACTATCACTTCTGGTCCCTAGTGGAGAATGTTCCTCGCTTCCAAGTAGCCTAATTTTAATGTGTACATCCACTTTGTATAGCTCTAACTATACTTATCATCTTTATGAGATTGGCTCTTGGCCACACTCTAAATAAGAGATATATCATCGTTAGCTACAAAATTTTCCAACATTCCATCATTTGGCATACACTAGATTAAGGCACTAACTGTTTTTCTAGGATGAACCACTGGTGCAAAGATCGCGCTAGTCGGGCAGTCATTGTAGGAATCCAAGTATCTTCCCAAAAATTTATCCGATATCCTGAGTGAACATTTTATCTGATCCCATATGTCAGTAAAGGTCTAGCTGCCATCAACCTCATCCAGACATACGAAAGATTATGAGCTTCTTTTGCTCACAAATGTGGGAATAGTCGGTGGTTTCGTCCTCGTAAGACTTGTTGGGATAAAAAACGGTTATCACGGAATCCACGTTTAAAGTTGAGTTTCTGTATGAAAGTTCTCTTACCGCAATCTTGACAAAAGTTACCAAAAAAGGAATCAAGATAAATGCAAGCACGAGATGCGCGACATCCAACACGCGCGAGTGGGAGAGTTGGATCGAACGAGCAGTCCATCTCGCCCTCTCGGTGAGTTCGACCAATCCAATGAGCAGTACAACTCGACTGCTCGGCAAGTTGGACAAAAACATCAGTCCAACTCTCCCCCTCGGCGAGTTGGACCAAATGAGCAGTTCAATTCGCCTGCTCGGTGAGCAGAAATGAACAATCCAACTCGCTCGCTCGGCGAGTGAATCAACTCCTCCCAACTCTCCATAAGGTGACGTGGACTGGACCTTATTCCTTCTGTTTTACATTAACTGATCCATTCCTCACCACGTCTCGATCGAATTTACCATTGTGGCTCTACGATAAAAACTATGAAGACTCGTTTTCCCGTACAAAGTTCATGTTTATCGTATAAAACGACAATGGTTAACTTAACACCACATTTTTCTAAACTATACTAGAAATGTGAACTTCCTACCCGAATTGATGTCATACCAAAAATTGTTTATTCGAAGAAATCGTAACAATGTTTAAGTCGAAAAACGGCCCGAAGAGGCCTAGAACGCGGTTAAAGGCCCACTTGTGATTTCACATAAGATTGATCCCAGTAACGGTATGACAGCATATCTTTGAACACATATGAAAATAAGTGTCTCGAAAGCGAGATATAAATGTCAAGTTTCCGCGCTAACAATGAAGATCAAGGAGAAAAAGAAATATTACCGAAAAGCGATAAACTCGACCTAAGAGCGATAAAGGAAAGGGTAACAGACCTAGAAGACATATATAAGGGGAGCTAAAGCAGTAGGTGCAGGGATCGAAAAATTTAGGCTTAGAAAAACTCCGCTAGTTTAGAAGAACTTAGGATTTAGGTAGCTGCATACTCAAAAGTTTACTTAAACTTGTCTCCATCTTTGTTACGAGATTCTCTTTGTTAGCTAGATTCTACTTATGTTTTTCTTCAGAAAATTCTGTACCTTCGTTCTTATCATTCAGTAAAACGCCTCTGTGCAACTTACTCTGTATATTTTGTTATCTTTGTCTCTTTCGTTTTCGTGTATTTACGCAGATAATCCATGATCTTTGGGATAGTCGAGCTGACTTGACTACCTTTATTTTATTAAAAATCCACAATTTAAGTTTTGGTTCCCACAGTTTGGCGCTAGAAGGAGGGAGGATCGAATTCTCCAACTCAAAATCATCGAATGACTGAGAAACGATCTGCCTAATCAGACATGCAGCAATGTAATCTCATTCAAGGAAAGAGCAACGACCGACCTGGTAAACCGCTCAACTATCTCCTTGTCGTGGAGCTGACAATCCAGAATATCAATGTCGCGAGGATATTGGTCGGCGCCGGGAGCTCGGTCGATGTCATCTTCAAAAAGACCATTGAAAGATTGGAAATCAATCCAACATAAATTGTGGAAGACCCGAACCTGGTAGTAGGACTCTCGGTGGAGAAGCTACCATGACTCTCGAGACAAAAAACCTCTCGTTAAAGCCGGCTGCATAACGAAAATCGTGGAGTTCTTGGTCATTGATCGACTCACGTCTTAAATTGCGACCGTAGGGAGTCCAAGGCTGTATTCAATGCAAGCCATCCTATCAACATACCACACTTGTCTCAAATTCCCAACCCCTCGCAAAATCGAGACCATCTGGGGGGATAGGAGAATCTTGCAAGTCTGCTTCGCTGCAGATTTAAAACAAAAACCCATTCCGTCTAAAAAGAAAAGTAAATTACAATGTCCTAGAACAAGATGAGACTGAAATCTTTTGGCATTCACGAGTGGCCAAAGCTTGGGAAGGAAAACGCGAGCTTACCTGCGAACCCGTTGTCTCCATGTACTTCCATGAAGCATTCTCACACTGCTGCGTTGAAATTGGCGCGAACTCTGCGAGTCTCTAAAAACCGAGCTCATAGCTTGTCTGAAAAATAACTTGAACACGTTCACATGGGCCGCTAAAGATATGCTAGGAATTGACATCAACATCACATGTCACGAGATCAACGTCGACCTGACTTTCAAGCCTATCAAATAAAAGAGACGCAAGTTGGAACTAGAACGCGCTGGTGAAGTATACAACGAGGTCAAAAAAAAAATCCTTAACAAAGGTCAGGTATCTTGACTGGCTTGCTAACCCAGTCTTTTTCAAAGGAAGAACGAAAACTGGCGAGCATGCGTCGATTTCACCGACCTAAATGAGGCATGTCCAAAGGATAGCTTCCCACTGCAACACATCGATCTCTTGGTCGAAGCAATGGCAGGGAACAAACTCTTGTCTATTATGGATGCATTCTCCGGGTACAATCAAATCTTGATGAACCCCGACGATCAAGAGAAAACCGCATTCATAACTGACGGCGGCACATACTTCTACATGTTGATGCCGTTCAGTCTCAAAAATTCTGGTGCAACCTATAAATGGCTCGTCAACCGTATGTTCTCTGAACAACTCGGAAAAACAATGGAGGTATACATCGACGATATGCTCGTAAAATCCCTTGAGGAGCAAGATCATATCACTCACCTTGAAGAATGCTTAGAAAGGCTAAACCTACACAACATGAAACTTAACCCCGTAAAGTGTAGGTTTGCAGTAGCATCGGGAGAATGCTTGGGGTATCTTGTCACCTTCCGCAGGATCGAGACCAATCCGAAACAGATCACCGCGCTGATCGAAATGGCATCTTTGAGAACGAAGCGAGAGGTGCGGAGATTAACTGGAAGAGCCGCAGCACTCAACCACTTTATCTCGCAATCAATGGATAAGTGTTTGCCTTTCTACGGCACTTTGAAGGGAAACAAGAAATTCGAGGGAACTGAAGAATGCGAAAAATCTTTCCAATAGCTGAAGCACTACTTGTCCACTCCCTTCGTACTCAAAAAACCCGTAGAAAGGGAACCACTAATCATGTACATCGCAGTATCAGTCACGGCTGTGAACAGTGTCCTCATCTGAGAGGAAAGAAAGCCCATCTTTTACGTAAGAAAAACGTTTCTCGATGTAGAGACACGTTTACCGATGATGGAAAAACTGGCACTTGCAGTCATAATGTAAGAATGTAAGCTAAGGCCATATTTCCAGTCCCAAACAACCATAGTGCTCACATCATTCCCACTGAGGACGAACTTGCATAACCCCAGTCAATCTGGATGATTAGCAAAATAGGCAATCGAGCTGAGCAAGTAC